GGCTTCGTTCCAAGCTACGTGTGGTGTCCTCCACCACGCTTAGCTTGTGGCAGGATAAAATTATATGATCGGACAGCTTGTTTCTAGTATTTATCTCTTTATCCGTTCAATTATGATACATATACAGATTCACAGGGATTTGTGATGAGGAAGGACTCTGCATTCCTCTGCTCTATATAATGTAACACTCCCTTTCATACTACTCATTCACTTGAGACTACATACAAAAGGCTTCCTGTTTTTATTTCTTTGACATTTCCTTTCTCTCTTCCATATGTATTAGCTATAAAAATTTACTTACAAAGATCATTCGGATCACATTACATCATACCATACATTTCCTGAGTTAGGAATTTTCGAAGGTACTATTTAAATACTATTTTTCATAAAATATTTGGTTATTTCAATAACTAATAGAGAAACACGGTCCTATTGTCGGATAGTAGTTTTATATTTATTATTTGGTTAGTATTCGAAACAACAATTTTAGTGGCACAATGGAAACTAGAGAAATAGTTGACTTAAGAGTTTCCAGAATAGAGCCCCAAGTTGGCTCAAGCTCGTTCATATATTTTTTCAATATATGTATCTAACTATACTGTATACAAAAGTTCAAAAAGTGGAGAAATATTTTTCAACAATTATATCCTCTGTTAAAAAATTTATTAGTTGAGAAATATTTTTGGACAATTATATCCTCTGTTAAAATTTTTATTTCCTAATTATCCTTCTGTTAAAATTTATTACTTAATGGGTTCACTCTTTTCTACCCCTCCATTTGCCCTCTTCATTGTATTGTATACATTCAAAACTGTTATTTAGCACCATCGATGTTAAAACACTATTTCAGGGGCACTACAGTGGTATTAACAAATAGTTGCACTGCATGGATTATCTGAGCATAGACAGTTCGGTCAATTTTGACACCACTAGCCATCACTAAATGAATAGTTGTACATGAATCATGACGCAAATTGAAATGTAAATCGAACACCACATAACATCAATTTACCTTAAAAATACACCGGAAAGATATGAATACAAAAAGGGGAGAGCATCAAGAGGTTTTATAAGACAAAAGACAAAGTTGATAAATAGAAGGCATGATTATTATCTAAAGGATATAAGAAAGCATTTGACGACGTCTATAAAGAACTATTTGCTCTTGATGCAAGTCATGACATAATCGGGTTGCTGATTGCATTGATAACGCAGAACTCGTGGCCTATATTCCAATTCTATGAAAAAATTGGCATTCTTACAAGCCGATTTAGAAGAACATGTCTTTATTGATCAACTTCCTGGTAATATAAAGCCTGGAAATTGAGTATGACGTGTCTAAATCATAGAGAGCTTTATATGGATTAAAACAAGTTCCAAAGGCTAGGTATAGGAGTATAAATGCTAAATTTTGGAAGGAATATTTTCGAAAATGTCCATATAAGCACACATTCTTTACAAAAACTGGAGATGGAGGGAAAATGGTCACGGCAAGATTATACGTAGATGATATTATTTACATTAGAAATGATAGTACGGAATGATGCATTATTTTCTCAGCATAGCAATTGTACAAACTGTGGTGGAACTTAAAAAAAAACCGTATGCGCAAGAAATTTTAGACAAATTTCAGATCAAGAATTGCAATTTAGCACACCAACTAAAATCAATTTGAAGCTTATTATCATGGAGGATTAAAGCAGGTTGCCATTACTCTTTATAAGCAAACTGTGGTAAGTTTGATGCATCTGACAATAAGGCCTGATATCGTATAAGTCTCATTAGTAGAGTCCAACATAGATGCATCTTCAGGCTACCAAGAGAATAATTTTTCGATATATGGAAGAAGCGAGCATATAGATGTGAATGCTCATTTCTCTTTATATAAGAACCACTATA